ATAGAGCAGCAATTACTTTTTATTCTTTGGCGCTCCACTTGCTTTGAACACTGTGAAATTAATTGGATTAGATTAAGCTGCTACCGCAATATGAACTGTTTTATAAAAGTTATTGAAAATTGTTGATTTCAGGAATCTAGTTAGGAGTTAGTAGTCATGTTTATTTAAATAAAAAAGTAATCTGGGTAGGTATTTGTGCGTATGTGCTTACAGATTTGGGTCTTGATTTAGTCAAAGATGTTTTTTCATTATTCGGGGCTTATTCAGATGAATAACAAACTACCCTTATTCCGTTTCATCAGAGGTCAAATTATTGCAGGCCAAAATGAAAATATAAAATATAGGTATCCCATAAACCAACTCTTTACGAAATAAAATCATGGCCTCAATGTGGGAGGGCCATGCTTCAGAACAAATGGCACAGTTGGACCGGAGTGATACCACGACCTCACAGAAAACTGACGTGAAGCCGCTTGCGTTGGGTTTTGTTATGTGAGATGTGAGTGAGGTTACCAGAGTCCCAATTAACCTCCCCCCCCCCGCAATCTCACAAATCCCTAAATCCTCAACAATCCTCAAACTCCTAATCCCCAAAAGGCCGGTAACGCACTCGTAACGCCTCCAGGGTTTCAGCGTTTCACCGTTTCAGGTATCCATGAGCGAAACCGATTACTTACCATCGGGTAATTACCGGCTTATGCCATAAAAAAATGGCGCTCTTAAATATTTATAAACAGATTGAATAGAAATAATAATGTCAATTCTCAGGCAAGTTAAATCAAAAATTTTATTATTGATAACAAAACTAATTAGGCATGCATTCAAGAAAAACACAATAGGAAATCAATAATTAATCTATTTAAGCAATTAAGTAGTTCTCGAATGTTCCACAAGAACAACCACTTTTATCAAACAAATCGTTTCATTCAAATTCATTCAATTGTTCGAATTATAAAGTGTTCGCGATAACAGTCATTCGTAGTTCGCACAATTGTTTCACTGCATCAATTTCGATATCACATATTTCCAAATAAAATGCGAAAATATTGCAAAATAGACCTTATCTGTATATCTTCGAACATTATCGAACTTGATACGAAAATGTGGATTTATTGTTTTATGTAATCGATCAACTGAGTATATAGATAGGTAAGTAGGCGTAACCAGACTGAGAAGGCAAAGAATTCGATATACTACCTCTATATGCCAGTCTTATCTAGTGTCGCCATGCGATAAATGAATTATAATTGATCAGGTAATTTTGTCCTGTATGTCTGTTAGCTTTAGTTAATGAATGTAGTTTTTGTATGCAAACCCATGCTAAAAAGTAACAAAATATCGACCGGGTATCACACACCCTACGCTTTAAGCTGTTGTTAAACGTAACGTACTAACTATTAGTGTAATTTCAAGACAATACCCATTAAAATAATTGCTTTAATCAAGATTAATAATTATGATATTGTTATTGTTCCCTCTAACCGTTAAATAAAAGTTTTAGTAAAAAATTAATAATTATAATTCACTAGCTGTTACCCGCGGCTTTGCCCGCGTATTCCTGTTTTATCCCATGGGCATTTAAACTGTCAAACACCAAGCGGTCACTGGTGACCGCAACCTATTGTTCTATAATTGTGTCTATAATGACGGTATTCAACGAGTTAAATTAATCGGAATAAAAAGTACCCTATCACCTAAGTTAGCCTATACGCTGCCTGTATACCAAATTTCATTTCAATCCGTTCTGTAATTTCAGCGTGATTGACGGACAAACATCAAAGCAAAGAAACTTTCACCATTGTAATTTGTAACGTTAGTGTGATTCATAAAGACCACTTTTCAGATTTCCCTATACACCTTAAAAATATTTAGCGCCTATCTTACCACCTTCATATAAGTACCCTGAGTAACTAATAAACTTATCATAACTTATGTGACAAATAGTTCATACAAATACATATTTAATTTATTGTCTGCCACATAGTAGCTATCCGGATATTGTAAAACTGGCTCTTAGACTATTTTTTAAAAAATCCTTATAATGTAAATACTTCGACTCTAATATTTATAATCTGAAACCGCTATAGCACTTAGGTGTCTATTTTATTTGTTAAATCAGTAATGAACCTGTGTAACTGAAGTACCTGTAATAAGGGATAAGCTATCTGACACTTATTATAATTTATCTGATAAGGTATTAACGGCAATAAACATGGTAACACTAGATAAACTGAACATTTGTGTTAAGTACTTATTGTGTAGCAACTTTTGTTTGCGGTAACTAACTGTACCAGTACCTACTTATATGATGACAAAGTATCATTGCCATTAAAAAAAGGAAATTAAACTAGGTAACCTTGAGAATCATAGTATGGGAAAATTCACGCGAATGACGCATTAGGTATATATAGGTACCTACACTACTCCAGAAAATTGCAGTGGAAACTAATAAACGTTACTAGAAAACAAACACACCTACATCTATCTATATACATCCTATAGGTACATCACGTGCATGTGTATGAGTATTGTGTAGGCATGTGTTGAAATATACCTAATTGTAGCTACTGCTACTACGCGCACACACACAAAGGAATGTTCTACACACATGTATAACAAGTATAATAGATATGTGTGGACCTGAGTACCGTACATACGTACCACTTCTATTATTTTTAGTCACGCAAAATTAGATCTACTCGTAAGTAAACACTAGAGTTTTCATTGCCGAGTGCAAATGGAGCGACGTACATAATACGTATACCTAATGTCACGAGTTTAAAAAATAATATTCAAATAGATTGGTCGTCAGGCTAGAGACATTTAGTTAGAACCCTCCATACTCTTTCGCTGGTTGTACTAAGAGCAGACCGAGGGCCTACGGTCGGTGCCGGACCAGAGCGGTCGGCGAACATGGATAGGTCGCCGCCGCCCGAGGAGCCATCAGACATCATAGATAATTTAAAAGGTTACCGGGGCTCCGGCTCGAAGTCCATGATTATGATTGGGTTGTTTGTCGTCAGTAAGAGTCACTGACAGAAGACACTCCCTCCGCCTCGTCCAGGCGGGAGAAGACATTCGATGATTTTCCCCCTTAATAAAAGGGACAACACATTTGAAAGAAATCAAAAAAGCAGTACAGTACTGCTTTAGATTTCTTTCAAATGTGAGAGAGAGTACTGCCAGTACTCTTCGATAAACTTGAACCATTTAAACAGCGATCTAGAGGTACAACACGCGTGGAAATTATGGCAAGCCGGCAAGCCCTCTTATGCAGAGGAAACATGAGTCCAAATGTCACGTGCAGTTGATATTTCAAAAGAATGTCTAAATATTACGCCATAATTATTTTTTAATTGCCGAGCTACTTTTTCCATACATATTTTTGCCTTGCGTTAGATAGGTAAGTACATAAAACTTATGATACATTGTTAGATAAGCTAACGATTTATCATGAGTTTAATTACAATATAACAAAGATCAGCCCTAGCAGTTAGATAAAAATTGTTAAAACACTATGAGAAAGTTTTCGCTTATCCCCAGCCAATCCGATAAAGAGTTCTTCTGAAGGCTAGGGAAATGTGCTCATAGATGATAGAGCGTAGGTACTTAACTACAGATAAAACCTTTTCCTTTCTATAAACCTACAAACCAACACTATCGTACTGGGCGAAAAGAAGTAACACCGCAATAAAAACAGATTCTGATAATTGACGCTGACAGTTACTCTGTCACAATTTTATCGCATTAATATCTTTCTAAGCCAAAAAATGTAACAAGTTAAGTATAATATTGTAGGAGGATAAATCAGCATATGGTAAAATTTAAAAAGGTCTGAAGAGTATGTGTAACCGTGGGTGGGGTTAGTTCATAAAAACATTTTGAAGTTGTATAGATTGAATACCGATGGTCACTAACTAACAAAATAACTACATAACTAAAATGACTAACTACGGATTTAAGAGCAAAAAACTAGGAAGAGCGGCTACAGGACGGATTGCTCAACTATCATGATTTTGGAAATGTATAATTTATCCACGTAAGGGATAATCGAAAACAGAATGGCAGCCCTCGCGCCATGGGTCCTGGAGCTGTGTAAACTGTTACCAACTTATTCCTATGGATATCTACAAGGTACCTATCTTCATTATTTTGTAACATAGGGTCGCAAAAAAGCTAGTAGATTATCCTGATGACAAGCAATGGACGACGTCCAGGGACACTCCCTACTCTTACTGACTAAAAACCACCCCGTCCCTACTCCTACACTTCGAGCCGGAGCCCCGGTAACCCATTAAGTTTTCTGCGGCTCCGTATCAGGAACACTCCCTAGATACAGCAGATGAATTACAAGTATCAACTTACAAGTTTTAAGGATTATTATAAGGATTTGGGGATAGAGAGGAGACAAGGTCTACTGGCAACCTCACCCATACGAAAAAACACAGCGCTAACGTTGCTTTACGTTGTTTTTTTGTGAGACCGTGGCTCTCGTCTTGCCGGCCCGTAAAACAAGTAGAATAATTTATTACCTGACTACTATAAAATGTAGGAAAATTTTCCATAACAGTAGGTATAATTAGAATATTAGATATTAAATAAGTAATTTAAACAACAAATTAATTTACCAAAATACTAGTTACTGGATTTAAAAAAAAATCAACTATGTAGTTTGATATTGAATAAAACAAGGGATTAAAAACTATTTTCAAATCAATTAATTACTACATACACATTGATTTTTAACTGTTTAATTAGGGATTAATTTGTTTGCAGACTTTGTAATATTATTGAATGAATGATTTAGAAAAAATATTTTTAGCCAAATGAATCTTTTAAATCTGTAGATACCGTAACTATTCATAAAATAAATTAATAAGAAGATAAACGGACGTGGACCTGTATTTAGACCCTTTTGAACGTCACAGATTACGTAGGAATTTGCTTACGTATCGATTTGCGCGGGCACGTTGAGCAAAGTTGTGGCAACATTATTCTCTACTAGTTCATTCATTCGTTGCCGTGTGAGTGTGCACGCACGTTGCTGTCACGACTTCACGTATTCATTTTCGTCATTGAAATAGTCTAAATTGTGGTGAGCGAACGTCGCGGTAATCTTACTTAACTCAAAATATACAAAAATCGTAAGTAAATTCTTGTTATTTTTAACCCGTAATCATATCTATCATTCAGTTTTAAAATTAACACGCGTATTGATTTTGGTGTTAAAGCTTAGGTAATTTTTTTCGCTGAACAAGTGTTTAATGGATTTGAGTGTCTATAAGCAATTATTATAATAATAACAATAGGGGGCATTATTATGTTTGTTATGGGACATAATAATGTGGTGATTTGGTGTATATTCAGTATTTCATCCACTTACGTAACATGACATTACGACACCTTGTGCCTTGGAACTCCCCGCTGACATTGATCCTGACCTAGTTCCGACCAGTAAATTCCAGAGCAGCAAATATTAATAACCTTTGTATTCATTACCAATATTTTAATCTATATTATAATTACATGGGATCCAAAAATGCTCATTACTTGACTTGTGCTGACTCAATCGGGATTCCCACCCATTTTTCCGTGTTACCTAACATTTTTATAAATAAATTCCTTTTTGTATGCATAATACTCCTACCCATGTGATCTAAAACTTAGAATAATTAATTATTATAGGAAATAACCACGGTCAGTCATGACCTTGAAGTCATCATGATCTCGACATAACCTATAAAAATCACTCAACTAATCAATCAACAGTTTCTTTTATTTATTTTATTTTATAAATGTACAGTTAAAACACTTTATTTAATTTTTCCTGATTTGTTTTTCCAGAAACATGGGTGTCCCTGCAGGAAACGCTGAAAACGGCAAGAAAATCTTTGTCCAAAGATGTGCCCAGTGCCACACTGTAAGTATTTATTCTCTGTTTTAGTATAATCGGCTTTCCTTGAACATCATCAATTGTCATTAATGACATTGCCCATTGTCACTTGTGACATTGAAATTTTATTTCTGGCATCACTGATAAAATATATTTTTCCTCCAGACACTTAAACTTGCAATGTTGGCCGGAATTTAATTTTCCTGCTGTATTTATAATTGGGTAAATCCAATTCTCTACATTTACTAAAAGTTTTACCTTTCATAATGAGTCATTTGAACATTATGTGTAATTTTCTGTAAATAAAAGTTAATTTCCTTAAATGAGATAAATTATTGTAGTTAATATACTAACTTTTAGTTTAATATTACTCCTGAAAAATATTCTGACCATGTGACTCCATTCAGAATAAATTAGATCATGAAAAAACAGTATAATATTCTAGAAACTCCCATATTGAATAGATAGAATAGACTTGGTAAATTTGTCAAGTGATTCTTACATAATAAATGATTATGTCATGAGGAAATAGCCTAGAAGGTTCTGTATTAACTACTAACTTTATGTTACAGGTTGAAGCCGGTGGCAAACACAAAGTAGGTCCCAACCTACACGGTTTCTGGGGTCGCAAGACTGGCCAGGCTCCCGGCTTCTCATACTCAGATGCCAACAAGTCCAAAGGTGAGTAATTTATTTTTAACATGCCCTTAACATTAATTGGAATTTAACATTATCTTATTTGTTTAATCCAACTACACCACGTCCTGTACTATTCAGATACCACGAGATAATGAAATCAATCATGTTTATCACTATTTTAAAATGTCATGTGTAGTTCTTTTGTTTCTTAAAATATACTTTACAGCTATTTATCACACTGATGAATATCAAACAAACGCATTGTTCTAACTACTTAGTTGATGATGTCATGTCCAAAGTTCCAGTGACTACTACATATCTATTACTACAGAGGCGTAAATCTAGCGCCACGTGTACCTATATGTTCAATCAGAATGACTATGTCTGATATAAAACTTGATTAGTTATCACTTATTATCAGTCCCCAAAGAAATTTTTTCAATGTCATGAATAATGATAGTAATAAATTATATCATATTTTTATAGGTATCTCATGGGGTGAGGACACCCTTTTCGAATACCTGGAGAACCCCAAGAAGTACATCCCTGGTACCAAGATGGTGTTCGCCGGTCTGAAGAAGCCCAATGAACGCGCAGACCTCATCGCCTACCTAAAAGAAGCTACTAAGTAAATTTACAAAGACATAGGACAAATTTCGTTTAAAATAAGAGGTATTTTCCAGTTTATTTGGAATATATTTCTTATTTTTTAGCCCAATCAGTATCATCAATCGTATTTAGCAATATTAAGTTGCGTGATACACTTAGTATATAGTTCACATGTCATATTCTTAGCTGTTATATACAATTATGTGAGTACAAGTTACAGTGTGGAGTGTATTACAATCTGTATACTCTTTGATGTTATGAGTGGATTACTGTTATTAAATTATTAACTAGACTCCCCCTAAAGCTTTTCATTTGTGAATGTGTCACGAATCACTATTTATTTTCTTCAAATCGCCTAAGTACCAATGTGTGATGACTATTTCTGATAATTGTTACCAATTATTATTTATGGTTAAATGAAATTATTTAATAAATAATTTTAACTAATTATTTTTGTTTTTGGAATTTATTTTCAAATTGTTTTTTATGTTTAATTTTTAAGGTACACTTCATTTGTTTTTTATACTTTCCTACATCATTTGTTGATGAATACGAAATATACAGAAATACCTAGACTGACTAGACAATAAATAGGTAAGACGAAAAATTACGTAATGCATTGGGTTCCGTTTCTGAGCGACGACGTCATCGACGTACCTAGCTAACTAGTTCAATCAATGGATGAACATGACCTAAAAAGTTATTTGAATAGATCGTTTATGATGCTAGTCATTATTACACTAATTATTAAGAAAGGAATTAAATTTTTTAAAGTTGCTGAAGTGTAATCGCATTGAGTCTGCTGCCTGACAGAAAACTCATTAAAGAATACTTTAATGAGTTTTGCTAATTCACAGACGAAGAGGAAGGGGGTAGATAGGAATGGGTTTGTCCTACAGTCCCTACGGAAGGCGTAGGATAATATAAATCACAGTTGAAAATAAATAATTTGAACTGTGATTATCGAATGTAGGTACTTGCAGAATAGGTAACGTGACGATCTTGTTTAAATAAAATGAAATTGGTTCGCCTACAAAAAATCTATCGATCTCGATAGATTTTTTACTCATAATAATAAGGTGAATAAATTATTGATTTACTTTGGTTTTTTTTTTTTTGATATGGCAACGCAACGTTGTAACAATGGTGCCTTCTTTGTATATGTAATAGTACTACCTAATTTCTTTTAAATGCAGCTATTTAATGTGTTAAGAATATTTAGACCTTCAGTTAAGAAAATATTATATAAGTTTAAAAATACAATAAGACATCACAATGTTAAAGAATAAATCAATATCTAAACGAATTATTCCTGTCAATCGTCACTTTGACAACAATGACATTCGATATTTTTCCTACTTTGGCATTGACGTATGACATTGACAGCCAACAAAATGACAAAATCGCTGTAAATCGCAATGAATTGAACGATTGCGTACGGCCGTCGTAGTAATTATTTGTCGCATAAATCAGCAAAACAGTATGGAAAAGCAGTAATTTAAAAATATTAGTGAAATCTAAATTATTTAAAACGTGACTCTTATAAATGCTTTCGCATTTTATCAACCTTTGAGGTGAGTTCATTTATATTTCTCGTGACCAAATATGTAATAAATTACATGTGAACGTCGACCTGTTTTTATGTGACCACTAAAATTATATTCTTACCTATTATATTACCCATTATACGCGAACTATTAATTATAGAACAACAATATTACTTACATTTTATGCAATGTTTATATATTCTAAGTAATTTGTTCTTCTTTAAATAAATTAATCTAGAAATAATGTACAAAAAATAATAATTCGTAAAATTTTTAATCCACCAATTATCAAGGTTGACAGACACGTTAATTTGTTATGCTGTAAAAGCATACAAATATTTTATTTTGGTTAAATTTTTCTTGCTTACCAGATCAATATCAACATAGTGTTAAGGGCTTGAATGTAACTGGACATCGTAAGTTGTACCTAATATATTGAAAATGGCCAAACCTTCGATTGTATTGAGCTTCCATAGTATATTACTTCATCAGTCAGATATTCATCTTTTGAATGGGCCATACTGGCTAAATGATACAATAATATCATTTTACTTTGAATACTTAGAGAAAAAGACATTCAAAAATGCTACAGAACTGTTGTTTGTATCACCAGAAGTGACACAATGTATAAAGATGGTTCATGAAGATGAAATAGCAACATTTCTAGAACCTCTTGAAATAAGTAAGAAACAGTTTGTGTTCTTTGCACTAAATGACAATGATACGCCAGACATGGCCGGTGGTTCTCACTGGAGTCTCCTAGTTTATTCAAAACCTGAAGCCTGTTTTTACCATTTGGATTCATCATATGTGAGCAATCATAAAGCTGCCTGGGAACTTGCTAGTCATCTGATACCTTATCTATCAAAGGGTAAGTAATTTATCACCATATTGCCATTATTTTTCTAAATTTGAATAAATCAAATTGATCAGTATATCATATTATATCCTGATCTCTATTGGTATAAACAACTATGCACCATACAAATAGATTTTTATCTTATTCTTATATTGAAAACTCATTTCAGGTAACATCAATTTTGTAACTAAAGATTGTTTGCAACAGAGCAATGGCTATGACTGTGGAGTCTATGTCCTATGCAATGCTGAGCGGCTTGCTCACCATGCACATCTAACAGGACAGATAGCCAGCTGTGAAATGCTTGACAAGATCAGCCCCTCTGCTAAAAGGAAAGAAATATTAAACTTAATCTACAGCCTCGCTGACTCCTAATAAATAATTTGTTATATTAATGTTGTACACTAGTGTAAATTTATTATGCTTTTGTTAAAACTAATTTATTAAAATTCTAATCAATTACATTCGGCCATTTTTTTTATAAAAAAATTATCTTTTCTTATATTGTTTTGGATTTTTCTAAATTTCATTTTTAATTTATGGAGTTGTACTGAAATTATCATGGCATATTATTATACTCTATGATCATTCAGCAATAAAATTGAGCACTGAATTTCTGAATCATTCAGATATTTTAGATTAGATAAGGATTACTCACATCATTATAAATAGATCTGGCACTCGCTATTTATCTTAGGTAAATTAGATTCGAAAATAATATTTGGTAACTCGCCATTTGACGTCTGCCTATTAATAAATCATTTTGATGTCATTAATAAATAATTTATAGATGACAATTTAATAGGTACCTAGGTATTTTAGTGTTCAACCTGATAATTCAATACAGTTTATGAGTCCTACCTCAAATAGGGTTCAAACCTTGGTCAACAGGATCATATAATACAAATAACATAAGGTTAATTAAAAACTACAAAAAATAAAATATAATATAAAGCGAAGGTAAACCAAGATACAATAGAAATAATTTTAAATATACATATATGTATAAAATATAATAATATTTTAAGATAATATATTAACTGGAATCGCGGGTTACTCGCGTGAATATACTGAGAAAAGCTCTACTAGTTTCGAACCACAGAGGGGTTTTTCCTCATGAGCAGCGTGCGCGGCGACGTCGTGCAGCTCACTGGTGACCTCAAACTAGTAGAGCTTTTTAGTAAAGTATATTCACGTGAGTAACCCGCGATTTTAGTTAATTTAATATGTCTCACGATAGTGATTATTTTAAGATATTTTCTTAAAATACCAAGGTTCAGAACTAAACAAAATGAATATAGAAATTAACATTGAACGCCCCTCTCCTTTAGGGACCTACCAGGAATCTATCAAGTAGACAGGCTAGGTCGTTCTATTTCTTATTTGATTACTAGCTTTTGCCACCGGCTTCACCCGCGTTCCCGTGGGATAAAACTAGCCTATATGTTATTCCTGATCATAAACCATCCTTGTTCCAAATTTTATCTCGATCCCTTCAATCGTTTAGACGTGTTTGAGTAACAAAGATATAGACATAAATTCACAAAAACTTGGATTTATAATATTAGTAAGAGAAGGTACCCAAATTCCTTTTGAATTATCTGCAGTGTCGAAAGTCACAACCAGACGCGGAACAACAATTTGTGGGTCAACAAATGTCGCGGCATTGTAAATTAGATAGAGAAAGCATCGATTTGGGATTTAGAGATAGGAAAATAAAGCCCTGCATCATCCAGGAATCAAAGACAGTAACGGTTTTAATAGCCCATTTGTCAAGGTTGTTTAAGCAAGCAAGCTTTTAAGCATATACGCATCTGGGAACATTTCAAATAATAACAAGTCATAAATTTTTGAAAAATAAATTTATTACATTTCGCTTTTCCTATTGAATAGGTTAAACAGACATTTCCCAGTACTCCGATACAATCTATCTAATACATAATAATAATAATAGATCATCTTGTTACTCATTTCATACAAATAAGTACTACTTACCTAACTTAGAAAATGCTTTAAAAATATTAACATTTGTTTGCCTTCTCGTAAAAAAATTAGATAAGTAGTAACTAACGAGACCTTACGATTAACTTCATATTTTACTTAAATGAGATAATTTTACTTGTAGGTAGGTATTACAAAAATAAAATGATTATCGAAAAGAAACTATGATTCGTAATAAGTATAGGTACTCATTTCTATGAAAAGGGAGAACAGTCATCACTAGTAAAAATCCTTGTACCATTCATAGCCAGTTCGTATCTCAATGCCAACACACATCTAAAAATATCTCGCATAAACAAGATTATTCATAAAATATCATTATAAATTAAATCTCACTACAAATAACATTTAAGGCAATATATAAATTTGTTAAATATAAAAAAAATATTGTGACATGCACTTTGATAGCATTGTAATGTTATACAAATAATATTATTTATGATTTTTGGGGTTCCACCCATCCTCCAAATGCTTGATTTAATTCTTCAGCTACGGCGAAACATAATCTGTCTTGGTTGTGATTGGCTATCACTTGGATACCAATTGGTAAACCTTCCCTGCTTAAACCTAGAGGCACTGTTGTTGATGGTAGTCCTAAGCAGTTAATGATGGCAGTGTAAGAGAAGTTGAAGGGTCGGACGAGCGGTTCATTGTGGTACGGTGCCGTTGTCGGATGAGTGGGGAAGAAGAACACGCCGTCATCACCCAGCATGTTTACAAATATCATCTCTAAATCGTCGCGAAGTTTGAGATAATGCTTGTATCTTTCGCTTCCGACCTCAGCACCTCCATAATCGAACAGTGACGTGAAAAGACCAATGAATGTGTTACCAGATAGTCCAAATGCATTTTTCACCATTTCGAACAATATGCTGCCTACACTGTCGTTGGGCATAATAAATTCACCAAACCTTTTCTTACTCTTCATATTTGCGAACCAAATGGCCATTGCCTTGCGCATAAGTGGTATTTTCTTCTCCTGCGCCTCTATTTTATATTGTTTCTTCAAGAATTCTGTGACCTTTTTCATGGCGGCTATAATTTCTGGATCAACAGCGTCCACCAAAGGACCATTTGTACTAAACTGATAGAAATACCTGAGTTTCTTAATATCGACAGGTTCATCTAAGTTGAGTTTCTTAGCGTTGTGTCCTGCTATAACTTTCATGATAGGCTTCAAGTCCACCGCATATCTGGTCATTGGACCAATGCCTGTGAATAGCGATATATTTACATTAATATCTGTTTGTCTTTCCACTAATATAAATTCAACCTATACTTTGGTTCAGTTTAAATGTACAAGGTGTTGTTTTATAGCCGCGTCATTTTCTAGGAAGTAACTCGACTATCGATTCTGAGCCCGAATCAATAAAAAATATTGTATGTAAATATCTTTCATTTTTCTGTAATTTACGGAAATCCGTAATTGCGAACTACACGCTGCCGTCTTGTAACTAGCTTTATAACGCGGCTCAACACACACAAACTTTTAATTATTGGCCCGAAATTTTCTCTTACATTGAACCTTTATGACTTTTGTGACATGCCCCCGAGAAATGACACGGCTTCAAAACTACACCTTGTATAAATTCTTACCCAAAAATGAATTCAGTAAATCAGACTCCGGAACGGGATACTGTCCTTCGTTCGAGACAATGTTTCGCGACGGCTTGTGACCAAAAATTCCGTTGAAGTAGGCTGGCATGCGTATCGAACCACCGATGTCGGAACCTTAAATTACAAAACGATCATTATAACACTACTCTGCATATAAGTTATCAAATGTCTTCATTGGTTCAATATTCAAATCATAAAGTACCTAAATGATGACATAGAAACGCATTAGTGAAATTAGTATCGTAAAAATGTGAATAAAATAAACATACATTGGATTGCGCTGACGGAATACTTATAAATAGCAGAGTAAAAACTGATCTAGGTAGGCAAATGTTTGTATGAAGTCTGTAACAGTTTTAAAATGTATATCTCATGTAAGTGGACTCAGTATTCATGTATTTTTTATGAGAATCATTTTCTATAAGTACAAAATGGGACTCTGAGTCTGTCTACTAGGATAATGAATATTCTAATATTTTTGAAATTTTTGTTTTTAACGTTTGTAAGTTCCTTTCTGCTCATGGGTACTGTACATGGGTAGGTAGGTACTGGATATTTTGGTGAAGTACCTAGGTACCCAAGTTGCTTTTGAATCCAGAAACCGAACCAGTCGGTACATGTTTTTAGTACTTAGCAACAGAGCTTAAAGGCCGTCTGATGGTAAACTGCCTTTCACACAATCTTTATCACACCATTGTAGTCCATAATGCCTCCTTGTAACTATACGCATCTATATCTTGATAGAAGATTGAAAAAAGTGCTTTTTATACGCACCTATACCGAAGACGCTTCCAGCAGCAGACTGGCAACACCCCTCTCCGCCAGATGAACCACCAACCATCCTTGTAGTGTTGTAAGCATTGTTGGTTCTGCCATGGATGTGATTATGAGTCTCCCACCTGGAACATTTATTACAATACGTTTTATAATTTATTCAGTATAACGGTGACCATAGATGCAGTGTAGTGACGAGATAATTACTCTAATCCAACTAATCGCTTTGTCTGTTGGATCTATCTGTCTCCTCAAAATTATTTTATCTGTCTACTTTAAATTTGTAATTTCATTGTCTAAAAAAAACTACTCTACTACAAATATAATAAGATATACCTAATAAACTCACAAATAACAAGGTATAGGTACTTACCACATGCACAATTCAGGGACATTCGTGAGTCCTAAGATGATGGCACCATTCTGTCTTAACAGCATGATAACATCGCAGTCCTTATCAGCGATAACATCCTTGCGAAGTACCACACCGGCTGTTTGGTGCAATCCTGAAATCATCGAAAAGGTTAATCAATTTTTGTAGTGAGTATTAAGCTCTCCATGGCATTTGTAAAGGAAAAGGAAGAATAGGAAGAACTGCCAGTAAATATGGTATGGACCTATCAACACATACAATATTTGCAGTCACCTAATAAGCGAATCAAGGAACCATCCTTGAGTCCCACAGTCCCACCATAATCAAAATATCAAATCCTTGCTAACTAAAACTTTTTCGAAGTCAGGAGTCAATTTCAAGTATGGAGAAAGAAATAGATATCAAGTATGGAGACTTGAAAAAAACTGAGATTGAATAAGTAGAAATAATAAAAAAATAATTAAATTATTATTTAATCAGCTTTGCGTAGTCAAGCAGGTAATATCGTCCTCGTAATAGACATTAGACTATCGATAAGTATAATTAGTTACTACAATGAGTAACATTTTATTATCACGTTATTTAGGTACCAACTTATAATAAAAATAGTCATACTTTGGTACTCACTAATTGACTAATATATGAGGTATTGTTATCTTTTTATAAAATGAATATACGTACATGAATATTAATTTTAGGTTCTATCTTATGGTGTTTTTTTATTAATTCTGAATTCAAATTGACGCTTAACTAAAGGAGAAAAAAATAAAGAAATATAAATATCCCATCGGGAAACAGACCCCACGATTCCTAACTTTACATTTGCAAAAAAGCTTTTACCAGATTTACTACTAGTTTATACTGTTTGTATTGTTACTTATTACCTCAGTGCAATAGAAGTGTAAAAGCAGAACAATTAGAATAGAATTTTATTTATTTTTAACGACCAAGTTTTCAGGTCATATAAGTGCCTAATTATTAACTAACCACGACCATTAATTACTCGGGTACAGAACAACCTACAACCATAATAATTTTCTATTTTAATTATGAAACAGTGCATCAATTACACCGCTAGCTACACTTATCTACATGGATATAAAAACCTACCTACAACGCTGTCAATTACTTACAATTGATGGTAGGCATTATGTATGATATAACCTCTTTCATGTGACCTCTTTTTACAGTCAATATAATTCTTCGTACTGGCATCATTGTCAGATGTCAGAATCGAGTCATTGAACTTATATTTGAAATGTAATCGATTAAGTACATTGATGAAGTCGAGACATCCTTGAATTTAATATATTTCATAAAAAAAGATCATATACTTAAATGACTATCGTTCATATAAATTATGATAAAATATTGTTATGGCTACTGTTATCTTCGTCTAACATTATTCATAAAAGTTTTTATGAATGTTTATTTTCAATAATTTAATTTAAAGACGTATCTACTGTGTATTTACTTTTTCTCTCATTTTCTGCGTATTACCGTAAAATTTTTAATAGGCAGAAAATGTGTGAAATATTCAAATGTTTATTGCTGAGATAACAGGAATACCTAGCCAAAAACACTTCGGTGTCATTTACGTATCATTTTTAATCTAATGAAATTAAAGAAATAGTCCAATAGTTATAGAAACTATGTCAGGATTATCTATAGCTTACGCGTTTTAACGTACCTTTGACACCTATACAGTCTTTGGTTGTAAATGGAACGCCGAGGAAGGGTTTCTCTTGTTCCAACTGTGCGGCCGACATCGAACCGCTTCGGACGAGTTCATCGGCCTCGCGTGCTTCCTTCAAAGCCGCTTCGAATCGATCTTCGACGAAGAAGTTTAGGGCAGAATTAACATCTTTAATCCGCCGTATACATGCCTCTACCACTTCCACGCTCGTGATCTGTAATTAAAAAACATAATTAAATTATATGAGAATGTTTTTTCAAGTTTCTCAAGTGTAAATGATAAAAATCAAGTTGACAATAACAACAATTTTATAGAAATTAAAAAATACTACCAAGATCAAGATTGTCAAGATTAAAAATATCATTTTAATGGTCACTAGGTATTATACTCAAAAAAATTTCATAAGATAAAAATTAAAATGAATTACATTTCTTAATTCTGTTCTGCCATTTTGGTGAAATCGTTTTGAGACATACCGGCTGACTTTTACAAATTGAACTTGATAAACACAATGCAACCCTCTCTCTTTGAACCAGTTAAAATGACGTGAAACGTTACTTTTAGTTACGAAAGACCTTGTAAATATCTTTAACTCAAAATAGGTTTTTGAAAGTTCATGTTCCTACATGTACATAACTAAGTATGTATTAGTTATTTTCTGCCATTGACCACACAGAGAACTACGAATGCATATGAGTCAAAGCATAAAATACTTGATAATAAAAATAAATATTACTCTGTAGTTATCATTTAAGCCTCAGTAAAACTTTTACAACTTCAGTGTCTTTAGTTATTGCATGTAATACCAACACTTATGGCTAACTATAATTATTATCTTAAGAATACCAAGTAGTGTAAGATTTTTTTTTATAAATGATAGCCTCTTACGTTACCAGGATAAAAATATTCGAAACATGATCTACGCCTATGAATACCAATGTTATCTAAGTCCGATCAATAGCGTTTGTTTAAAAGAATGGAAGAAAAAAAAGAGGATAATTAAACAGGAACCTTGTCTTATCTTACTTAAGAAATAAATTACAAATTCAAACTTCTTGCTTTTGTCAACGACTGCTGTAAATGTTATCAAGGACACTTTGGACGGGCTGTCGCCATTCCGATCCTAGCATCCTGAATACAATCGTTACAATATAATTACTGAGTTTAAAGTTAAGTACTTAACCGCAATCGTCTTTAGCTTACTTCAGTACCTCCATTACAAACTTTGGCCACAAGCCTTTACAGGTAATTAAAATAATTTGATTCGAAATTGGAAGGTAACAAAGCAAGAAGTTTAACTTCGCTCAACGGACTTGGGACGTTTGAAATAAGTTGAGTCAATTAATCCTAACACGGTTCATGATTTATTTGCATATTCCGTTCTAACCTTACGTCACAGACTTGTGACAAGTACTTGGTAAAGTATGATTTGGGTCTAGCGCTTGTTCTCTTCAATAATGTCAGTTCTCTCTTACTGCCCCTTATTTAAGAAGTCAAAACAATATGTCTCGTTTTTCCTTTCTTAAATTTTGTCTAAAACTCATACCATTCCTTATAACGTATACATCCATATCTTTTGATACGTATATAAGATATTCCAGAATGAAGAAGTCCCTTATCCTTTAATACCAAGTTTAAACAAAATTGGGGTAATGGATTAGCACTCAATATTTTTCTGGCTTAAAACTTTTCATACGTTCAATTGCCGTTCTAACCTCAAAAGATTGCTTACAAAGCGAACAATCTCGATCCATTTCATATCTTTTTGTTGAACAACAAAAGAGCAAGTTCTACCATCTCAGTGAACTGGCAATACTTATAGTCAATTCAGTCGCATTGTGATCCCATTTAAACAGAATTATGCTACTAGTTGCGTCGTTGATCAATCAACATTGGGTATTGTATTTCTTGTTGTTTCTTATGCGTATTTAGGCTCAAAGTTTTTTAAATCTAAATTCAGGCTCGACAATCTAATTTTAATAATTAGCAGTATTTATGGTCTGTTGCAAATATTTATATGCATAGGTACCTGACGGGGTTACTGAACTTGTATTCGTATATTATCAACAAATTACATTGCGATCTCCAGGTCGGCGAAAAACAATCTAATTCTTCGAAATTACATGGTCGTACACACAGATTATGAAGAACAAAAATAAATATTACAAAATTTTTTGTAGGATACGATAGAACTAGAGGAAATAAATATGTAGTCGCTACAATACTAAGAATTGAAATCACACACTAGAGGTATTTCGTAGTACGAACGGCTCACAAATACGCGTATGCACATTCATGTTTATGGTGGTACTGCGCAAGGAAGGATCTCTATTTGTAATCGGATTTAACCTTGGATTCTGAATCTCAACCGATTTCATACATTGTTACATTAGTTTTGACTGTTTCATTCGATAGGTATGCAACCAATTTATCCTCAAATCTTGAATAGATCCTTTATAAAAAAGAAGTTGACCCGCAAGACCAATAAAAGCTATTTCGTCTTATTGAATAACAATAATGTACTAAACAAACTTCAATATTTCTTTGAAAAAACAAAGCTTTGTTTACATTTTTCTTTATTTATGTGACAAACAGTATTTAAGGCATTGGCTGCCAATAAAAAACTGTTGAAGGCAAATCCTCCGCTAATGTCGGTCACCGGTGACTGCCATGGCGTTTAACGTGTTAATAATCCTACCTAGCCCACGACATGAAAATGGCAGGTAACATTGTTTTCATTCCAAAATATTCCCTCGGCGGGGAATTTCCACGATATCCCAGACCAGGCCGAATCTAATTAGTTTTGTTTTGGTCCAATTACGGCCACCAACATTCACCTGTTTATTCTATTTGGCACTTTGAATTGAATTTAAAATTAGCCTAATTTAGCCATAATCTAACGTAGCCATAATAAGATTTTCTAGTCTAACTAATGACCTTTTAGCTTGATAACCTTTATAAAACATTATTTTTAAGAGCAATCTACTTCCAACATGTTTTTCAATATACGACCACTTTTTCCTCAACATAAATAGTTAAGCCCACTTTCGATATTAGACGATTATATGGAATTCGTAGCGGAGACAATATAAAGTGGTTTCATCTACAATACAGGTACCTAACAAAAGACTTGTGCCGTCTATACTTGAGTCATAACTAGCTCGTTATGCCTTTTATATTACCTATTTAGTTACCTACATTATTCACAACAAAATCTTGTTTCTCCACGGGTGAGTTCGCAGAATAGAATATAATAGTTAACCCACTTTTCCTGACTATGTTATTAGGAATATACCGAATGTACTAGAAACTGGAAGCACTACTAGGTTACCTAAACAATAAACATACTAGTTAGTTGTATTTTACGCTTCAAATTCAATACTTTTGTAATGTAATGGTAATAAATGTTTTTCTAGACGCTGGACACAAATTGACACTTTTTGTGCAAGATCTGAATTAAGAAAAAGTTGTCAAGCAGTCGCGTACGTGACTTATGTTTAACAAAAACTCTTCAGTTACTGAAAGATAACCGAAACTACCTCTACTGGAAGTAGAAAGCTGAAGTTAAGCACATAAAGCATTTATTTAAAAAAACAAAAATAATAATATGCCTACAAAATCTAGAACCAAAGCAAGTTTATTTACAAAACATCGTTGCTATGCTATGACCCAAAAGAATTTCAAATTTTAATCATACCTAATCATGAACATTAATTAGTTACCTGCCTACTTGCGCAGCTGAAATATTAATGTATAAGTACTTTATAATGGTAGACGTAAATTAGCAATTAAGTTAATTCTTTTAACAGAGCTATAAAACATGAATCATGAGGTAAAAATAATATTTCTTATCTAAACTGTGTATTACGAAATCCAAGAGTATGTTAATCTTATCGTTTCTACGGTTTTGGTTTGGCAAATGTAATTTAAACATTCTGACAGCCCCATTCTCATGGGAGATGGTCTATCTAAATATAGGCCAATTTTTTCAAAGGAAAGCTACCTATTTATTCCTCAAAAAATCAAACATGTGAAGTCTTAACCTTAAACAAAACTGTCTTGAAATATTGGAATCGTTATTTGCTAAAGACATCAATAAATCGTATAATTTGTGTACTAAGTATACAAGGGCACTACTAAATATGTATGTGGCGATTATAATGTCAAGGTTATACCGTGAACTTGGAATTTGGAGGACTACGCGCTCGATGTATTAGGAGATAAAGCGACAGAATATTTCAGTATTAGTCACGTTTTTTGTGTATGAAGTTAATCTATCTCGTGTTTAACATAGAAACAACTGATAACATACATCTTCGTTTTATTTTTTATGCTGTATGAAAAATATATGATGCAAATCCAAGGATTGAAAAATGAAAATAGCTCAACATTTTGTTAAACATTATCCTTGATCCTTGTATCAACATTGCAGACGTTTTATATACGCAGGATAATTTACAATAATCTAATCATTTGCTAAGAAGATAAGAACGTGCACGTAATGAATCATTATTTTGCTATAGTTTGAACCTTGATACTATGTGTTATGCTACAAATATCAACGTTTTGTTATGAAACTGTATTTTTAAATGCATAGCGACCAATTCGTACTTGGTTACTGTTATCGGTCGAGCTGTGTAAACATAACTTGTACTTGAATATGGACACAGATATACGATGAAAAAGTAAAATAATGCCTACCTATATCCAAAAACCGGTATAAACGCGGCAACCATAATCCTAATCTACCTACTTGCGTCAGACGGCACGTATTTTTTGACCAAATAGTCATTCTGTTCCATTCAATTTACTTGTTACATGGCACCTACCTACTTGGATCAAGTAGGTATTGAGTTTCCTCTTTAACGGTTACATCACTGGCTATTAAACTTGTGTCTGCCGGCTAACTGTTGTCATGTTCATGTTTCCAAATAATAACATTACATCAACGCGGACAGAGTTACCACTTTTAATGTAAAAGCCTCCGTGAAAAGTTTTTCCATAACGGGAGAACTTACTTTCTATTCGCTAAAATTTTTATTATACTGCTCAAAACTTACCTCTTTATTCCGGATTTTCTTCGCAACTATAATAGCCGGTTGTTTCAGGATATCATCGTATATCGGTGGAATCTTTTCTCCTTCGTTTCCATAGTATAAACTTAAGACAAACTTCCCGATACTTGCAAATATCAATCTCAGCACATGAACCACTCTCAGGGATAGTGGTAAAGGTTTAACTACCTCCGCGTTACACATGATCGTGTTAATATCACTGCTATTTATAAATTTTGCGCGTAGAAACAGTCTTTGTAACACTATGCACACTTTATTTGAAAACAATGTTAGAAGTTTTGACGGCAACCGAGCAGCGACAACGCCTGTGTCGCTCATATACAAACGAACTGTTCAACTCATTGAATGAGCGATATAAACCGAGGACACATCAGCTTGTATCTGCGTCAGTACAGCCGTCTCGCTCTGTCGCTGTAGTTCGCGCGTGGGCCGTGTGGCGGCTACGTGTCGGGCTCGGCCGTCCTACGGCTCCTCACTGGCGTGCCGGCTAACCCGCCACTCCACTTCAAACACGTCTTTTTATCACTTTACAGCGAAATAATATGTGACGAGTGATTGATAAATGACAAGGTATGCGCTGGACACTAACTAGGCTTTACTAGTATCGCTGTTACAATCAAATCATTTCCGCTGGACAATTTTTATATTTTTATATCACTTTATAGACAGTGTTTAGGTACAGATTATTTCTGAAACATTCTAACCCCAAATGCTTTAAAGCTTAGTCAGAGTTTTCAACTAACCAAAAGTTTAATGATTAACCTGTAAACATGGCAAATCAGGTGTAAGTTTAGACACTAACATAAGTAACCGAACATAAAATACACATATATTAATTGATATAATAATTTGTATTGAAATTTTTGAGGTTACCTATTTGATAGTTAATAAAATGTCGCTTTATTTAACTAACAAGTTTTACTATGAGATGCGATAAGAACTTTTTGGTATCTTTTTAAAACATCAAAGAAGGCGGAATCAAATGGTACCATGTTAAAGTTATTATAAAATTAATATTTTTTATTTCCAGATTATTTAGATACTGTTTGTAGGTACTGTTAATATGCATATTACTGAACTTCATGACAAACAGACTGTTATGGTTATGTTTAGATATGTATCGAAAAGCGCATATTGGTGTATAGTTAAACATTTTCGCCTTTGATTTTAACTCGCGCAAATCTATTATAGGTATTGGTATTATCCATGCGGAAAACAGTAAATAAGGTGTTTATCAGTCTAGTGTGATTAAGCGTTTTAACTCGTCGAGTACCGGTTTTGTAAACACAATTATAGAACAATAGGTTGCGCTCACCGGTGACCGCTTGGTGTTTGACAGTTTAAGTATCTATTATCTACAAGCCAAAAATACTATTACTACGGAAAGTTTTAAATATTTAGATGAACGTCTGTACGCTGGCGGCGTAAATAAAAAGGAAGAAGTGTAAACATTACCACCAACATATTTGTGTAGCCTACATTTCAGGAACAAAGAAACTTGGTACCTGTTTGTTTATTTTGCTGACCGATGTATTTCACCACTACTCGTACATAACTAATTAATCACAATAACATAAGCTTTCTATCCAAACAGTGTGAACAACTGCAAAATGATCGCGTATGTTTTTATCTTTTCAATACATTCCACAATACGCATTTTTGCATCTGATTCCTTGAATTCATATTCTTGACGCTTTAGTATTAAATTTTTCCTTACTTTATTAATATCTTTGTTGCAGAACAATATGGCGGACTCACCAGAAATGGAGCAGAAACCTACCATCAGCAACACACATAGAGTGTCATTGCCCACAGTTCTCTGTACTCCTGAATCAACCGACGACAATTCCGATATATCTATCAAAGTGAATTCTATCATTTCCTCGGATTCGAAGATGTCGCTTCCGTCCAATTTGGGCACCCCAACGTCTCCGTTGAGACTATCATCTCCGTTGTCATTACCGTCGTCACCATGCGTGAAGAATTCCCCTCAGTCGACGAACTCATTACCGAATCCGAACCCGAAACCAATGACGTCAAGTACAGCCTCGAACAAGACCGTGGTGAACAGCGGCTCAGCTACAGGTAAGTGATACATGTAACGAGTACTGTAACAATTAGCAAACATATTCGTTTGTTAGCGCTTTCGCGGCGAAGCGTTAATACTGTTAATAGTTTGCAATCGCGGGAAAACTGATATTACGCTGATACGGACCGTTTTACATTTTTATTTTGCGCTATTAATATATATTTTTTACTGAATGAGCTTTATGAACGTGATGGCGAAATATTTGAAGTCCAAGTATAGGATTACGAACGATGGCAATCTTTGATCTTTTCTGGTACTTTTCTGTGCCTCTTGTTAGGCACACATTTAATTTGTATTCCACCTTTACAATCTGAGATAAAATGCTTTAACTTTCTCATAAAGTTACAATACTTTCACTGTTTACAAGGAAATACTGAAGCTTAAGAGTTTTGAGAGTGTTTGCGACCGACAGGATCGCGCGCAGTATTGTCAATATTTTGCATCGCGCTCAAGATCTTAACATCTTGATACAGACGCTGCATCTGGCGTCATCGGATCGTTCATCGTTCTATCGGATTTATTGATATCTGAAATATTTCGGTTTACCAAGTATTGACTTAATAACGTCTTTAATTTTGTATGTATGTAAATCCGAAGCATTGCCCTGAAGGCAACGTTTTGCAGATTTTAAAACTGAGACCGTTTTGACATCTATTTCTTCTCTTCATAAATTAAAAACTGTGTATAACATAAACTGTCAGTGTTTCATCATATATATGAGTCGGATGATCACGATTTGTCACAGTCAATAGTCAACCATCAATTATATTAATAAACAACATCGTCGTAATAATCGTTCTTCATACAAATAATTACAGTTAGTGTGAATCTGTGGGTGATATTCCAAGAACTGTATTTGATTACTTTTCCTGTTGCTAAAACATTTCTTTCATGTTCACTTTGTTATGACAATTACAACCACAACAGACAAAAAATAGCCAAAATGTCTTACAAACAAAAAAAGAACTCAAACAGCTTACCATAGCGGTTAATATTGTTCGTATTATTAATGATTATTACATAAGAATAACTCCATTACAATAACTTGCAAAGTGAAAAATCAATGGATTTTATATAAAGGGTGTTTGATCATGTATGTATGTATATTATGTGAAAAGTGTCGAATCATGTATTAGGTGGGGTAACGCCGAACATTTTTCCCTAAAATAAATTATTCTAGGCACACGTACCTAACTTACTAAATCAGATTTTCGATCAAAACTTAATAAACATCACCTTTTATTCTACACATTCTCTTGCGTATTTTTTCGGGTGATTTTTAGGGATTTTCTTGATATTTTGTGGAGAGTAAAAATATTACCTTATACGGGCCTGGTTCTTTACAGCATAATTATTTATTAGCACTGTTTGTTAATAAATAAAGTATTATGCAGAAGTGATTAGTGTATTAGTTGGTTATTGTGTAATAATAAAACAGTTTTTTTCCTTTTTGATGCAATTTTAAAGAAGGCATATATAATCTTTACTGTGTAATTCTCATTAAGATAGGAAGACGTTATAAGCGCAACTTTTTTTAGTTCAATAAACTTTTTAAATAAACCATTGAAAGAATTAACGATCTATCTAGTAATAACATTGGTTTACCAATTCGATAGTAAAATAAAATAATTATCATGTATGTTGAATCCATATTAATTATTCAGTTAATCCGTACAAAGCAATCGAATGCAATACGGCTGATTGTTTAATTCGGTATTTGTACTGTATGAGTATTTGAATAATTAATGAGACTGTGCAATAATTTATTATTGGCGCCAACAAAATCCTCTTATGTTTTTATATCATTAACTACATTGTTTTCTACAAATTCTGCATTCCATTCTGTTCTGTTTTATTGTACATATATTGAGCTTTAGATGTTTTCCGTGGTTAGTCGTAAAACAAAGTTGTACACTGATACTGTATATAAAGTAATAGAAACGAAACCGCGTTCGGCGCTCTGATTGGTCGACTCCAATGAACCAACCAGTCACAGCGACGAACGCGGTTTCGTTTCCATTACTTTATATACAGTATCAGTGTACAACTTTGTTTCGACAACAACGTCTCGTTTCGATTAATTTAAACGAAAAATAAACTGACACTAAGCCCTATGGTCAGAGGCACATCTCTTGTGTCACTCAACCAGTGCCATTCATACTTTAAAAGCAGTAAAATACAAGCAAATGAATACGAGGTAACTTTTATTCTACCTCTAATACCAGATATTGTACTTCAAGATCCTTCATAAACTAATTTTAAACCATTTTCCAAAGTTGTCTATTCAGTAGTGATGAAAAAGTAGACGAAATACGAAGTGAGAATATTTTCATTAAAACAAATTTTATCCAACAACAAGAAAGACCCTTTGATTATTTCATGAATAAATAACGAAACCCTATGATAAAAGTACTCGAAAAAACTCATCAACATTTTAATAGCTTTTGAGACAAAAAGTAGTAAGCTCGACTGAAAGGGGATAAAATATATTGTAATTCGTTACCGCTCCTTCAAACGGAAATAAACAAACGTTGCTAACTTTGCGATTCATTCCTTTTGTGACCTTCTAAAGTTGACGATATTCGTAACTGTTCCCATTTAACTGATACAACTTTTGCAATTAAAGCTACGTAACTGGTAAAAGATCGTTTGTCTAAAGTATTTATGTTTTAAATCCGTTTCGAAGCCAGTACCTACCATCGATCGCAAGCTTCCCTTATAAACAAACTTGCCACACACCGCTATATTTTCCCATTATTAAGACAAACGCTGAAGGCTCCACGGGATTAAGTGTGAATTGGCTACTATCGCGCACTATTTCGTCATTGCGGCATAATATCCGTGATATTGGACTCTATTTTGGCAATCGAGTTGATGATACGCTGTTGCGAAAGGTTCAAGTATCCTCATTGAACCTTTTGGCCTTCACGGGACCCCAATGAACATGAGGATTTAGCAATTTTTTCAGGACGCTGAAAATGAGAAACCCTCATCGACTTCATTCATATTCCGCAGTTGAGCGCAGATCGCGGCGGAGGGCGGGCGCGTCCCGTGTCGCTTTCTTCCACAATGCCGATACTAATTCGCTTTAGTTTCCTTAACCGAGTGAAGTGAAGTGGCAATTAGTATAGACATACTAATGACATGAGACCATGTCAGTCAACTAGCGTGTTCCATATAAACTGTTGCAATCGTAAGCGTGAATAGATAAACTGTCAGGAGAATAATAAACTTTTCGTGTTGGAATTGATAAATGAAAAACTTTCTGAAGGAAAAAGTTTAATTTCATATGAAAATAAATATTTTGAGAATTTATGAATGCTTAAGATAAATATAGGAACAGTTTTTCAAAAGTTACAATGTAGAGTTGTATTCTGTGGAACTGTTGTATTACGAACAATGCTTGAATAGGGTTTTGTTGGTAAACTCTTGCGTACGTAATGATGCGAGGACTGAGATAAGCGCTGGTGGTGGTGTGAGGCAGCGGGATGCCTTGTTGTGGGTGCTGGTGGAACGGCAGACAGAGGCACCGGCCCCCTGACCCTGACACATCAGGTTATTTTCCACTTCATTTTATTCACGAATTTCCTCGCTCTAAGCCCAAATGGATATAAAACCAATGAATCGCGGGATGATGGATAAGCGGTTCTTTATCCATTCAGCTTTTACTACTCAATGTTATTGCTCCGATCTATGTGGCTTCGGAAAATGTTGGCGCTATCGAGTTTCCACTGTTTGTTATTATGTAGTTGGATGGCTTTTCCACGTTATCTTTTATATGTTTTATTTTATCTGGTTTGTTTTATGATACCGTTGAGTAAATATTGCTTTTCAGGCGAGAAATAATTGAGACTCACCATGTAGTTTTAAATGTGACGTTTTTATTCACACCCACTTTAATAAATTAGACCAGAATTGCGTAACACTACAAAAACAAGTCGTAAACAAATACGCTGCTACTGGTAAAGTGAGACAGCATTCACATGGAAAGTTATATTGAAGATAATTTCTAAAACCCTATAAAGCCAATCAACTCTAGAAACTACATTCTACACATTGACCGGATTTAATTATCACAAACGGTGTCCCGTTAGTTACATCAAACAAGAAACTTCAAACTAAAGGGTCTCTTTGAAGCAGATATAATTAATTAGTTAACATGACCATATAGTCGCCAGCACAATAGCACTACGATGTTATCGCAAACCCTTTCTCCAAAATGTATGAGGCACGACTTTGGCTTACTATTTGACAATCTGACAAGAAAGGACCACATACATATGTACGTACTTACACAACTCCATTTACGTAATTGTCTTTAACTTTTGACTTGACATCTGCAAGGACCTTAGGAACTTCAAACAATAGACCCACGTTTTAACCCTAAAACTTTGATGTGTTTTTGACAACCGAAAATACACAGCCATTGTTCTAAGCTCCCGTTTAAAAATAAAAACATGTTCATAAAAAAGTGGTCCTGAACAAACAGAGGTGATTTATTAACGGATTATAAAATGAGAGGTCATTTCGGAGGGACCAGTGGACGTTACTGGCGAGTAATTGATGAGTAAGTTTTCCAAGGGTTTTACAACCTTATTCCTTGTAATCTTTAGGACTCGTATCTAAGGAAAAGTTCATTGATATCTATAAAACTGTTCAGTAAAAGATTTAAGACAGAAAGTGATAGGCAAGCATCCTTATTCTTATGGACTATAAACCCAAAGGTGCGATAAATTGAAGTATTTTCAGGAAACTTTTATCTTTATAAAACCCTTAATGGTATACTAGTTAAAATTCACGTAGATCAACACAGACGCCAGAAGGGCCTGGCTTATCTAATCAGGGGATGGTAAATATTCATGTTGGTATGTGACACTATAATTTTAGTACAAAACATTTCAATCTGAAGCAAACAGCCAAGTAATTTTTACCAAGGTTGTTCACAAAATAAAAGTGACAGACATAATAAAGCTTTTTTAATCGATGTGGAAGAGATAAGCATTCAAACTTTATTACTATAGATAACAAAAAAGAAACGCATTACCACTTTTGTCTATGTAATCGTTGTAGAAAACTCACTTCGTCGTCTGTAGTAAAAAATAATGGACATTCTTTGTGCACGAGAAAATGTCGCCGTAAACAGGAGTGAGTGAAAAGAACAAAGGGAATTGACAGTTCCAAGTATCGTGACTGGGGAAGGTGGAAATAATTGTGACGGATGATTGGGACTCGATACACACGGCATCGAGTCGTTGCTACGTGACAGTTGGCAGTCGGTGTCTCGGTACGGCCTACCTCTACTGCCCCTGCATGCTCTGCCCACGTACAATTTTATTGCTAGGGTGTGACTTACGCTATTTCGCTTTTATCGTAAAAACGCTGATTCACGTTCTGTAATGTCGAATTGTCGTTTTGTTTTTTTTTTCATCCTGATTTTTGTCAACAGTCCTATTTGTCGACAATTTGTAACAATATACAGCTCTCCGGAATAGAAGTACACTTCAAGACACTCACTGTCCGCACATTGGTGACGTCAAGAGAATCTAGGAACTGAAAATGTAGGTTTCCTTCTTTCTTTGTGATATTTCCAGTGAATTTTTCTTCGGGGTATGATTGGTTGAATTGGTTCACATATAAAACCTTACTTTTTAATTTGGGTGGAAATAAAGGCAAGTGGTGATTTTTTTTTATTTACTTTGCAAATTTAGGCAAGTAGGACACTCTTTCGAATGATGGTTGTGGAAATAACTTTTTAATTGGACAGTAATTATACCAAGTTGTGGTATGTTCTAGATTTATTTGGTTTTTCGTTCTAGTCAAGGTTATAGGCAGTTTTTTGTCCAGTCATGAACCGTTACTAAGCAACTGAAATCAAGGTTTTTCAGGGTCGAAAATCTTTTGATTTCAAAGGTTATTTACATTCTAATTTCATTAAAGAAAATGCCTAAATATAAATAATTAACTACCCACTCCAAATAATCGCTTTGTTTGAAGGTATCAGGCCTTAATTATGTGAAACATAATAACGATTAATTTTAATTTAATAGATTAGATTGCTTCTTTACTTCTAGTAATGATGAAAGTCATTGATGAAACAAAGAACCTACACAATTCATTTTACAAATTGTACTGTTCACTGTCATAATTTATTAGTACCTGGTTAACCGAGCCCTGTGTTTTTTTTAGTAAATGTCATTTTCTGAAAATGAAATGAAAATGAAATCCAACACATCAAGAAAGTCATTGGAGCTGTTTCCTAGATCGTTGATATACAAGAATTGCTCATTTAAAGGTATTCGATATTACACGGAAGAATAACATAGTATTCGAAAGTGGGTCATTATGTGCCTTTGTCTAATTATTATTTGAACAACCACTATTAGCCAATTACGTTATATCGAGTACCTATCAAATCAGAAAATACAAATTTGTACATTTACTTTTTTAAACTTCTAATATCAAACTAAACACAACAAGAGCGAAATGTTACAAAAAAGTATTACAAAATCCCTTTGTAATTCTTTTTTTAATTAAACCCATGCTTTTTTATTCCCATAGTCTATTACTAGCTAAAAGTAGACTAGGTCGGAGGTAAGACTAAGAGATTACTCCAATTAATTGAAATGGTCTATAAGGGTGTCCCAGGAGTGTTGTACAACATACGCATTAACTTTGACGAACATTTTAATTACTATGTATGTATGTAGTTGTAGTGTGTTACCCATCACTGCATATTATGATGTACTGATGAATACAACTGTTTAGTCTGTTTACTATAGTTCTTCGAGCACGACTTGTGTAATACAACCGACTTGTGTAATATTAAGTAGTAATCTACCTTTTATTTGTCTTATTGTGAAACTTTAGAAACTTCTATATTGTGCTGTTAAAAATATGTTACAATAAAAAATACGTAGTAGTTAAATATCGTAACATACACGTAGAAGCGTAGCATTTATGCGTGGTAGCGTAGCATATGCGTAGTATCGTAGCATATGAGTAGTATCGTAGCATATGCGTAGTATCGTAGCATATGCGTAGTATCGTAGCATATGCGTAGTATCGTAGCATACACGTAGCATTGTAGCATACGCCATGTTGATCAAAATGCATGGCGTGTGTGCGATAGACTTCATCTAAATCCTCACTAGTTTTTGTGAAAGACTAACAAAAATCCATAATCCAGCTTATTTACGAGATATCGGTATTGGTACTATTGGTATTGTGGATTTACGAGAGTCTTAAGTAGAAATAGGCTACGGTTTCTACGTTAACATTGGCGTTCGTGTAACAAAAGATTCGCTCTATAATAAATAAGTATTTAGGGCTGATTGCATAACTAACAATAACTACCAATACCAATATTTCTTTGAGATTTATTATCATATTTCCAGAGAATATTGCAATATGTAGGGAATTATTGTTTTTTATTCGTAATATGAGCACGTAGGATTTCTAGCCCCTAGAAAGATATTTCACACCTATTTAGGCAGTCTACGTATCGGAAATACTCATGAGACATTTCTGTGGCATTCAATAACGCGGCAAGCCTGGGGAGGGTTATTTCAAACTTCATAATGTCACGTCGCAGCTACGGGTTAATAATGTCGGCTTTGGAAATCAAATTCTAAAGGCAAAACTGGAACGTTTCCACTAAAAACAAATATATCACAACTATAAAACGGCCAGTTCAGTTGATAAAATGACTGAACGTTGCCCAATTTAGTTAAAAATTCTATTCGAAACGACACAAAACTCAATTTGGTTGTTATGTAAACGAAACAAGGTAACTTTTCCGTCAGCAGGTTATTGTATTGGTTTTGTGACGTCATATATGAAGCACAGGCACAACCTTTTTGGTATATCGTTGTCTGTTCTGCATTTTAATGACCTATTGATTGTTTGTTAATTGAGTAACAATCCGGTGAGCTACAGTCGGTCAAGAAGCCACTTCGTTAGGCGTACAAATAAAATGTTTTGCTGCATATTTCGCGCAAAACCCGCGAGTGAGTGTTCGGATACGAATTCAGATGAGAGCGAGAGTAAGTGAAAATATCGAGTTTATTTACCTTCATAACAATAATAATATGTGCGAATAATATTCCATGTTGTCACATTAAGAAATTACTTTCTTCGTTAGCCTTTTGATATTTGTTTGGGTGGAACTATTAAATGAAGTCACGTAACAGGTGCGCGCAAGTAAAAATATTCTTCTTAAGAAATTCTCGGCTCTAATTAAATTGAATTTGATGAAACACCACAACATCTGCGTAAGCACAACTTACTTATTACTTTCGGGAAATGTTTTGTAATGTAATTGATTTTTTTTTTCTTTTCTGAATTTCCTTATTATCTTGTTGTTTGTCGCTATTTCTGCAGAAGACTGTCTTCGGTTGTAATTAGTGAGAATGTCTTATTACTTGAACACTTTTCGGAACGTTTGTTATTGTATGCGATACGACTGCCTCGTTGGCCGAGTGGTCCCAAGTGCGACTGCCGGGCAAGAGGTCTCGGACTCGATGCCCGGGTCGGGCTAAATAATGGGTTAAAAAAAC